CTCTGGCAAGCAAGCATTTCCAGCCGCAGTGATATGCAGACTGTTTGCTGTTAGGTCTCAGTGGGGCACTGGAATGCTCTTTGTACACCCTGGACCAACCACAGCTTTTCCCATGCCTTGCCTCTCCGTCTCCTCCTTGGTGGACATTTGTTCTTCATGTCCACCTTTTCCACCTCCCTTCTGCAATTAAAAGAATCTGTACTATAGTTTCCCTAATTGAAAAACAATCTGAATGGAGAAAGGAGACTTTTCATGTATCTGCCTGTCCTCCATTCATGATTGTTTTTCATTCATAGAAGCTACAGTACAGATTCTTTGAAAGGAGGAGGTGGGCGTAAAGGGTAGGCATAGTCAGCACTCTTTATGGCTGTCAAAGGTCCCTTGGCCCTATTAACCCCTGCCACACTGGAAGATTACTGTGACGGTGTAGGGATCTGAGGAGAAAGATTACAATTAACGCAGGAGTCAGCAGCACAAAGGGCACATGGCTTTGCTAGTAAGTAACGTCTCTTGTGCAAGTTTGTCTCTAGTGTCTAGTTTTAGCTAGGATGTTTGCTGTGAGTCAGAGGCTTGGGTTGAGTCAGTCTGGGAGTGAGGCAGTGAGGTTACCTCAGCCCCGCTGGGAGGCTCTACAGTTCAGGGCTTCTGGAGCCCTCCCACCCTTCTAGAAACTGTAGGAACTTTCAAGAAGAGGGAGAGAAGAGGGGAGGAAGCCTAGACTTGCATTTTTTTTGGAGCTTGGCCAATCCCCAGGCAGGAGACAAGAGCCCTCAAATGTGAAAGAGCCTGAACAGCAGAGTTGGTGTTAGAGTTGGGTGGAAGATATACTGAAGGAAGGTGCTGGAGCGTGATGCCTGGGAGGGGGGAGACAGACAGGAGGATCTCCACTGCCCTACAGTCTCCTAGGGAGGACAGCCTGTCAGCAGGGAAGGAGCCAGCCCAGTGTAAGGCCTGAAAGAAGCTGCAACCCACTAAGTTCAGGAAAAGGACAGTGTGAGTACCTCTACACCCCTTGGGCCACAGAAAGAAGAGTGCAGTCAGGTGCAATACCCAACCAGTTCTCATCTGGGACTGCTTTACAGTAGCTTCTAGAATCCCTTGCCTAGGTATACCCTCAGTACAGCCGGGTGGATGAGGAGAGGGTCATCTGGGATCAGAGGAGGTACATCAAAGGGACTCAGTGCTACTTAAAGAGACTGTTGCTGAGAAGTGTTAAGAACACTGCCAAGCTTTCTCTTTGTACATATGTTTAAAATGCTTTATTTAGTATGGAAGGAATTTTCATTTCTAATATATGATTGCTATAACTGTGCAGTTTTATAAGGTAGACATATAGAATTTCAGTTTGCAGTAGAGTGTTGCATCATGTTAGTCAATAATGAAGGCAGCACGTTTTTTAATTCAGTAAATACCTTTATGGTTTACTCAGTAAGCAAACTCTTAGTTCAAAAGTTCTCATTTTTAAAAACTTTAGTTAGTCAATAAAAGCTAGCACTTCCATTCCAAACGGTCTACATGTGTTTGAAAATGATGGGTATTGACAATTTATTGTACATTAAACAACAGACCTGTTAATGTGGCATAATTTGTACCATAGTGTTTTTATACAATTTACAGCTTGCATCCAGCTTTAGAGTAATAGACATGTTATTCCATTCAGGACCCTAAAAGGTATCTTTAGGACACAGAGAAAAGTTATCTTTGATTTGATGTGTTAGGAAAACTTGCAACTGATGCCTTCTGCTAGCATTTTATATGATTAAAGGGTCAGTCTACTTTGCATTAATGTTTCAGTTTTGACTACAGGTGAAACTCGAAAAATTAGAATATCGTGCAAAAGTTCATTTATTTCAGTAATGCAACTTAAAAGGTGAAACTAATATATGAGATAGACTCATTACGTGCAAAGCAAGATAGTTCAAGCCGTGATTTGTCATAATTGTGATGATTATGGCTCACAGCTCATGAAAACCCCAAATCCACAATCTCAGAAAATGGGAATATTACATGCAATCAATAAAACAAGGATTGTACATAGAACAATATCGGACCTCTGAAAAGTATAAGCATGCATATGTACTCAGTACTTGGTTTGGGCCCCTTTTGCAACAATTACTGCCTCAATGCCGCGCGGCACGGCCTGTGGCACTGCTGAGGTGTTATGGAAGACCAGGATGCTTCAATAGCGGCCTTCAGCTCTTCTGCATTGTTCGTTCTCATGTCTCTCATCTTTCTCTTGGCAATGCCCCATAGATTCTCTATGGGGTTCAGGTCAAGTGAGTTTGCTGGCCAATCAAGCACAGTAATCTCACAGTCATTGAACCAAGTTTTGGTGCTTTTGGCAGTGTGGGCAGGTGCCAAGTCCTGCTGGAAAAGTAAGTCAGCATCCCCATAAAACTCGTCTGCGGAAGGAAGCATGAAGTGCTCCAAAATCTCCTGGTAGACGGCTGCGTTGACCCTGGACTTAATGAAGCACAGTGGACCAACACCAGCAGATGACATGGCTCCCCAAATTAACACAGACTGTGGAAACTTCACACTGGACTTCAAGCATCTTGCAGTGTGTGCCTCTCCATTCTTCCTCCATACTCTGGGTCCTTGGTTTCCAAATGAGATGCAAAAGTTGCTCTCATCAGAAAAGAGGACTTTGGACCACTGAGCAACAGACCAGGTCTGTTTTTCTTTAGCCCAGGTAAGACGCTTCTGATGTTGTTTTTTGTTCAGGATCTGCTTGACAACAGGAATACGACATTTGAAGCCCATGTCCAGGATCCGTCTGTGTGTGGTGGCTCTTGATGCACTGACTCCAGCCTCAGTCCACTCCTTGTGAAAGTCCCCAACACATTTGAATGGCCTTTTCCTGGCAATCCTCTCCAGGCTGCGGTCATCCCTGCTGCTTGTGCACTTTTCCCTTCCACATAACTTTCCATTAATGTGCTTTGATACAGAACTTTGGGAACATCCAACTTCTTTTGAGGCTTTCCCTCCTGATGGAGGGTGTCAATGATGGTTTTCTGCACAACTGTCAGGTCAGCAGTCTTTCCCATGATTGTGATTCCTACTGAACCAGACTGAGGGACCATTTAAAGGCTCAGGAACCCTTTGCAAGTGTTGTGGCTTAATTAGCTGATTAGAGTGGGACACTTTGAGCCTAGAATATTGCACCTTTTCACAATATTCTAATTTTATGAGATTGTGAATTTGGGGTTTTCATGAGCTGTAAGCCATAATCATCACAATTATGACAAATCACGGCTTGAACTATCTTGCTTTGCATGTAATGAGTCTATCTCATATATTAGTTTCACCTTTTAAGTTGCATTACAGAAATAAATAAACTTTTGCACGATATTCTAATTTCTTGAGTTTCACCTGTAGATGCCAAAAGGTTGGATCAATCATTCGCCTCTTAAAATATCTACATTTGAATTTGCAGATCCTTGTACCTGCACCAGCCATGTGATGGTGTACCAGACCCCATTTTATATTATTATTTATATTATGAAGAAAGATTAATTAGCAGGACATCAGAATTGAATACTTTACTGTACATATCTCACTTTCTGAGCCCCCAAAGGGATAAAATAGGCTGGTGGGTGATTAATTCACTAGCATCTGCTCATTGCAGAATATAATGTTTGAAGTGAAAGAAAATTTAAATCAATATGTGTTATAATACAACTTAAGCTTGGGCAGCCCCTCATATTTGATTTTTACATACTCTTTTTCCTCCCGCCTACTGGCTGGTCCCACGACAAGCAGATTCCCCATATTTCCTTCCTACTTCCTTTCTTTTCTCAGGAGATAAGACTATAATTCTACCACTTTATAAAACTCTGGTGCGGCCACATTTTGATTATGCCATCCAGTTCTGGTCACCAATCCTTAGGAAGGATGTGTTGGAACTGGAAAGAGTCCAGAGAAGTGCAACAAAGCTGATAAAGGGATTGGAGGACCTCAGTTACGAGGAACAACTACATGCATTAATCATATTCTCAATGGAGAAGAAATGCTTGAGAGGAGATATGATAGCGATATACAAATACTTCAATGGTTATCCCATCATAGGGAGAAAACTGTGCAGTATAAGGGAGCTTAGGAAAACACATGGCCACTTAATGCAAGTGGAGAAGTGGTGTAACAATAAACTGCATAGGGGGTTCTTTACTGTTCGAGCGGTAAGGATGTAGAACTCCCTTCCACAATCAGTAGTGTCAGTGGGAAGTGTTGATAGTTTTAAAAAAATCTTAGATGAGCATCATGGCGAATGCAATATACAGAAATATGGGACATGATATTGACAAATATAAATGCACACATACGCAGGTTGAACTAGATGGACTGGTGTCTTTGTTCAACCTTGCCAACTGCTCTAACTACTGTATTTTTTCTACAGTATTCTGCTAAGATGCTGTCCTCAAGTTTTACAGTTCCTTGGGCATCCCATATACCCCTAGAGCCCATCCAAGTTGTTAACTCCTAATAAATACAACAAATCCAAGCTCAAAGACTGTTTTACTGACTCTGAGAAAAAGTGTGGAAAATGTGTTTTGCCTGGTTGTGCAGAGCTTAGGGGGACCCAATCAAAATCAAGCGGCCCTCAAGGAGATGCATTGAGTAAACTTAGGTTTTAACAACCTGCCAACCACTCAGAGTAACTATACTGCAAATGGGCAGCAGATGGAGGCACAATCACATATTTGCATATCAGCATTTCTCCTGGGTTCAGGCAGGTACCCCCTTCCGACATGTGCCTTGATTGGCAAGCAATCCCTTGGACAAAGTCATAATTACGAAATGCGTGAAAGCATTGCTGTATGACAACCAAAAGTGATGCAACACTCCGCACTGGAAGGGATGGAGGAATGGCTTGTTGAGACACAGAGAGTACCGGTATACATGGGCTATTATCCTCCCATTAAGCAGCTTTGACTGAGAATTATTTGTGGCATGTGCAATAAGGTGTTATTATTTATATACTGTACTTGTGAGTAGTTTTTTAACCTCCCTGGAGGTATTCCCGAGTGTAGCTCGGGGTAACGTTTCAGCACCACAAGCGGTAACCCTGAGCTACCCTCGGGTATTCCCTGCAGCGCTGCTCCGGGATCTCTTCTCCACTTACCTTGTCCTTCGCTCCCACGATGTCCCTCCTGCAGTGTCCCCGGCAATGTCCTCTGGCGATGCCGGCATCTGTCTTCTGGGTTCCATTCCCTGCGACGTCAAGATGTACGGAGACGGAACGGCGGGAAATTTAAAAATGTGAAAAAGTGACATTCACTAAATATACTAAAATCACATAGTAAAACATTACTGTATCAAAGCATTTCACATACATTTTGTCCCTAGTGCTTTGTCCTGTGCCCTGCCTGCCTTTTTTTCCGTTCTTTCTGCCTGGAAACTGAGAAATGTCCATGGCGTCCAAAAAGCGTCCCTTTATGTCAAAAGCGGTTTTAGACCAGCTAGAAAACAGCGACAGTAAATTAGAACTACTTGCAGAATTGAGTGATAATGATTCGTGGGGAAATTCGTCATCAGACACTGAAAATGATTTTGCGACTTTGCTCAGTGATGTGCGAACTTGGCGCTATATTTCAAATTTTAGTGTTTTTGGTTTGATTATATTATTGAATTAAATGTATTATTATTATATTATTATTATTATTATTTATGATTACTTATTAAATTATAATTTATGATTTCTTGTTTCAAATTTTAACATACCCGGGATGTTTACTAGACTCTTGTTCAGAGAAATTTCAGTGAGTTATTCCTAAAAATGACAGGCCTACAATAAAAAAATACATATTTCCATGCAAAAAAATGCACAGCTTTGAGCACAGAAATATTGACATAATCAGACCGCTAGGGAGGCTACGTAGATAAGGATCAATAAATGGTGTTTTAGCAATATTACAGTGTTGTGGATTCTCTTTTTCTTGATGGGGAGTACACCTGTTGGAAGGAGAAGGAACAGTTAACCAGGATGATTAATGTTAAGTGGGTTGGAATCATAATGTATGTGATTGGGTATTCTTTGCAATATCACCACATTCACTAAGCTCTGTGGATGATTCCCTTGCAAAGTGCAACTTAACTAGCAAAGTGGACAGCCTTTTTGTCTTTAGTAAACCAACCCCACTGCAACTTTGTGGTGGGTCCATGATTATTCTAAGCTTCTTCAGGGCAGGGATATATGTAGATGGTTCATTACACTCCGTAAAGCTCTACAGAAAAGTGTCAGCACTATGTAAGTGAGTAAAATAATTAATGTACCATCTGTGATGGCAGAAATGATAACACTTGAAAAGCCTTCCTTCTCAGTTGGGGATTAGGTTAGCCATTTAGAATGTATAAAAGCGGATCTGTCACCTGTGAAGAAATATCACAGTGCTGTAGAAAATATTAAAGCAATATTGAGATTACTAAATTTTTAAATTGTTGATGTCAGTGCCAAGCTGCGGACAATGGAACTAACATATACTTATGATCTGTATACAGTGAGGAGCTCTCTGTAATGTTCTGTGCGTAGACACTACACAGAATTATTCTAAATGGTTACATCCTGACTAAAAGTTGGAATGCATTGTAACACTATTCATGGAGTATTTTTAGGTGGAGACCCTTAGGCTTGGGTGCAAAGCCAGAAAATTTGTAAACCATCATTCAATTCGTATAGAGATAGCCAGACAGTGGTTTAAAATCTGCACATTTTTAATTTATTCTGAATAAAATTTTGTGGTCATAACATACATATGTTAAAGCCATAGCATATATCTCACAATTCAGGAATCACAAATATGTGAGGAACCAGGAGGATGGAGATAACCCATGCTACATACCTGTTGGCACAATATCAATACTGCAAACTTTAATCCCATACACATAAACTGACCATAAATGGCTACATTTTTGTGGGAACATTCTTAAGAAATTCTGAAAAGTCACTCATCAGAGCATTTGATGATGTCATCATCATTGTCAACTAATGTAATTTGAAGGCCTTTTGAATGTAATTCAGACCTACTACTTGAAGAATTCCCAGATGTATTAAACTGGTTTGTTTTGCTGCTTATGGTATGAAATCAATGAAAGAAAAATGCAAAGCAGAGATTGTTTAAATTTAAAATAAAGTATATTGCATTTATGTGAATGTGGGGAAAATGTGCTAACTTCCATCATCCAATCATGTGCAAGCAAAAAACATTTTTTTTATTTTTTTTTTGCACGTGCTTGGGTAATTTCTGTCACATTTACGAAGCTATGGGATAGTGTCCTTCCAAAGAGCAAGTTCTCCTGCAAAGTGGACAGCCTTTTTGCCTTTATTAAATCAAGCCAGTGGGGTTGTGCTAGATAGCATATACTGCATCTGTCAACTAAAATTTACCCATAAATCCAATTTTGCATACACTATACAGAAACCTTTTGTTTAAATAATTTTTTCATGCTGTTCTATACCATACATAATCTTTTAAAAGAATTTAATTAATTGTAGTGATCACAAAAATTCTACTTTCTCATTAAATGTTTCCTAGCACACAGTGGCATCACTAGGGTTGGTGTCACCTGGTGCATTAAAATATGGTATTAGCCCCCCTCCCCCCAAAAAATCCTGTCTTCCTTTCCCAGAGCAAATCCTCCCCCCCAATTCCTATTCTAAGCACAAATCCTCCTCCACCTCAGGGATTTAGCCTGGATTGATCGGACGCCAGGATTTAGCTTAGATCTTGGGATGGTCCTGCCAAATCTAGGATGGTTAGAAGGTATGCTAACTTTACCTCCCCCATCCTAGCTAGCAAATCCTATCCCCCAACCTAAATATTTAACCCTACCTTCCCCATTCTGTCTAACCTGCCTCGCTTCATACACCCCACCCCTAAATATATACACCTTGCTAACCCACCATGTATTGCCACCACCCAAAATAATCCTGTTTCTGTAACCTAAACTTCTAATTACTTAACCCACACACCACTAACTCCATCTCCCTAAACACCCAGCACCTTTTTTTACCCCATCCCCACCCCCTCAATCAACCCAGCAAGGGGCAGTCCAGATTTGTCTTCTGGGGGCTAGAAGGAAGGAGCCAGGAAACCTTGTGTCAGAGCCTGGGTCCGATCCTGGGCCTTCTGCGGTGAGTGGCAATGTTTCTTCTTGCTGAGCCACCTGGAATGCTGGACAGCTCCCTTGACAATTATTTGAATGATCCTACCTTGACCTTGTTTATCATGAACCTTGAACCCCTTGCTCCTCCCATGAACTTCCTGATATAAGCCATGTCTCTGCACTTCCTGTCTGCCAGATTATTGTATCCAGTATCTTGCTCCTATCATCTCTGCTGTTACCCGTATTTTGCTACCACTCGTTATTGACCCTTGGCTTGTTCTCGACTACGCTTCTGCCTGATCCCAGCCTGCGACTGCTCCTTACCGACCTTGGCTTGTTTACTGACCACGCTTCCATTTGATCCTTACCTGTTCATACGCTACCAGACCTCCGCTTGCTCACCTACTAGTGGGGTGATCCCGAGGACCGCAACCTGGTGCTAACATGCAGTCAAATCCATCTCCACCATTAGGAGCTCTGGTGAACACCGGTTGGCACCTCGGGTGATCCCACTCCTCCGCCATGGTGACCTGCCTGTGTACCTATCCTGCTGGTTTCAGGTAAGCCTTTCCACTGCTATAGCAACTGGTCTTTGAGCCTGACACCTGACCGTGACATCTTGCTGACTGCTGGGGGAAGGGTTAACCTATAGGGGTTGGAGTGGAATTTGCCAGATTGGGTGTTTCAGACATCACTAGTGTGTTATAGAGAGGGAGGATTTCAGTGGAAGGGGGAGGATGTTTTCCCCTGGAGGGGGATGGAGATTGTGATTTACCTGATCTCCAAAGTGACATCAGCCAGTTTTGGAGTATCCTCTCCCCCAGCTGATCCCGCATGTCTCTGTTACAACTAGCCTCGGACTTCACCCACTTCCAGTACCTGTAGTCCTGCCCACAAAAACTGGACAGACGCATCTGCAGTCCTGCCCAGTCATGTCTGTTACTGCTCAACTCTGCCCACCCCCGGTATGTCAACATATGCAGGGAAATGCCCCGATCAACCAAGAGATGCAGGAAACACCCGCGCTAACATGCTCCTGCCTGGCACATTGGTGGAGCCAAGTGCTGGTGAATCCAGGTTGGAAGATATGCAACCTGGATGCCAGGAAATCCCGGTACACCCTGTGCGCACACTTATGGGTGTCACCCCTCTGGCGGGTGTCATCTGGGTGTGGTCCACATCTCCCGAACCCCCATAGCAACGCCATTGCTAGCACATTCACATTACAATAAGTACAATTTTCCCAACTCAGGAACATATTAAAGTGTTACTAAACCCAGGACCCTGTATTCACCATATCTGGTCTCCCACAGTACACAGAACGTGGAAATGCAATTATTGTAGTACATATAAACTACTAAATACCTTTTCTCATCAGCAGTTAGAGCAGTCTTGTAACTTCAGCAGAGCAATAGTTAAAGCTTGTAGGAGGAGTTTTCTTTCTGCTTTAGGAGGATGTAAAACCCCTGACCTCTGTCTTGATTGGCCCTGTGCTGATCACATGCACTCTCCCAAGAAAAAAAACCTCCCTAGCAATGCACATTAAGCTGAGCACGTGCAGAAGGGCTACGGGTTCAGTCTGTTTTATCAGCATGGACATTTGAGCAAGTGGAGGGGCAGAAAATCAGGATCAAACAGCCTTTTTACACAATGCAGAGGATTAACCCCTTAGGTTCCACAATGAGTATAACAAGCATGCTTTACTGCATATACAGACTGATTTTACTGTTGTGGGTTTAGTAACACTTTAACAGTTAGAATTTTGTGTGTTTATGTAAGATATTAAAGTGGAAAGTGTTCCATTCTTCACCTTCAATTTTTCTTATCATTGTGGTCAAAAATAGTTGTCAATTTGTCCACATTAACCATAAGAAAATAGAGCTAAGTTTTTTAAAACAAACATTTTCAAATGAAATTCTAACCTTGCATGGCCAACTATACTATATATACTCTACATAACAGCCGATAGACTTCAGACAAATAAACCCCCCTGTGTTTATCACCACTAAACTTCCTCATCCTTGTGTTTGAGATACTGCCCACTACTTTGCAAAAGCACAATAAATGGTAATTACTGACTACTGTCACTTACAGACTCCATAAAAACATGCTAACTAGTGAATTGCTGAATGTCCAACTGTTCATTTCTTGGCAACAGATTCCCGTGAGATTGATATTATTTTCAGACTGCATCATTTTCAAAGTGCTGTTTACAGAACAATAAACCTTTTG